TGTCATATCACACTTACTTATAAAAATGAATCAAAGAGAGAGCCGAAAAACTACCGAGGCATTGCAGTTATATGTTCAATCGGACGTATATACTCGCGGGTCATAAAATCAAAAATTGAACAGCAAATAGCTACAAGGGAAATGGAAGAGCAGTCAGGTTTCCGTGCCGGAAGATCGGTGATAGACAATATCTTTACTCTTAAAATCCTTGTAGAAAAGAGCAAACAGACAAACCTAAAGACACACTTAGCCTTCATTGACTTGGAAAAGGCATATGACACCGTCCCTATACCCAAGCTGTGGAAAACAATGTTCGACATAGGAGTCAAGCCAAAATTAATCGAGGCGATCAAGAACTTGTACCAGCACAACACTGCAAAAGTTAAAATAGCAAATATGCATCTAACAGATAACACCACTGATAAAGGACTACGACAAGGCTGTTGCTTATCGCCAACATTGTTTAATATATATATAAATGGAAAATTTAAAACGTGGATAAGACAATGTAAAGGTATGGGAATAGCCGTAGATGAAAACCTCCTTATGACCCTCTTCTATGCTGATAATATAGTAATAGCCGAAGATGCAGATGATCTGAGCTATATGGTACGGAAACTGAACGAGTATTATGTTCATGCCGGTTTGAAAATAAACATGACGAAGTCAGAATACATGATTGTAGGTAATGACGAAATAAGAGATCTACCACTAGAAAACGAAAAAATTATAGGAGTAGAAAGATATAAATATGTGGGGGTAATATTTAATAAGGACGGAGATAGCAGGGAAGCAATTCGGGAAAGAGTAGCAAAAGAAAGAAAGATAATCCGATCACTTAACTCAGTACTATGGGAGAAGAACATACGGAAGACAACAAAAAAACGAATGTCCTCTTCCTTTGTGACATTATACGGAGCGGAGATCTGGGATCTGAATAGAGACAATAAAAATAAATTATTATGTACAGAAATGGATTTTTGGCGGAAAAGCTTGGGCGTATCACGATTAGAAAGAAAAAGAAACATCGATGTAAAAAGAGAAATGGAAATAGAAAAAGACATTACAGAGGAAATAGAAAGGCGACAACTGGTATGGTTTGGACATGTAAACAGAATGACAGATGATAGATGGCCAAAACGAATTTTAAAATGGATTCCCCCGCAGAGACGAAAACGTGCTCGACCAAAGCGTAGTTGGAGAGAGGAGGTGGAAGAAGCAATGGCAGCAAGAATTATTTTATATATATATATATATATATATATATATATATATATATATATATATATATATATATATATATATATATATATATATATATATATATATATATATATATATATGATGACACTATATTCCGGGATATCATCCGTTCGCTCGTTGAACTCCGACTGGAATCCTGCATCCGACTGGGATCCTGCAAATCTTGCATACGACTGGAATCCTGCAGACGTTTCGCCAAAATCTCAATTGGCATCTTCAATGCTCGCGCTCCGAAAACACTTCGAACACTGTTCGAACAGTGTTCGAAGTGTTTTCGGAGCGCGAGCATTGAAGATGCCAAGTGAGATTTTGGCGAAACGTCTGCAGGATTCCAGTCGGATGCAAGATTTGCAGGATCCCAGTCGGATGCAGGATTCCAGTCGGAGTTCAACGAGCGAACGGATGATATCCCGGAATATAGTGTCATCACATTTTTCCATCCGTGAATCAATACGTGAGAATATATATATATATATATATATATATATATATATATATATATATATATATATATATATATATATATATATATATATATATATATATAAAATAATTCTTGCTGCCATTGCTTCTTCCACCTCCTCTCTCCAACTACGCTCCGAGTGTTCGAAAACACTTCGAACACTCGGAGCGCGAGCATTGAAGATGCCAAGTGAGATTTTGGCGAAACGTCTGCAGGATTCCAGTCGGATGCAGGATTTGCAGGATTCCAGTCGGATGCAGTATTCCAGTCGGAGTTCAACGAGCGAACGGATGATATCCCGGAGTATAGTGTCATCACATTTTTCCATCCGTGAATCAATACGTGAGAATATATATATATATATATATATATATATATATATATATATATATATATATATATATATATATATATATAATTAAACAAATTCCAATATTACGCAAGAAACAATGAGCCTCCTCCAAAAAAAAGGTCGAAGTCGATTCTATTCAGTTTTGCAAACTATTAAAATATTATCTTCACTTACCGAGCGATTAAGACTTAGCTTCCGGCTCAGGATAAACTACCAACAATCTAACACCATCTCCGGGTAAACAACAAACAGCTTCGAAAGTTATGGCCGCTAGTAACTTTATAAGTTTCATAATTTAAAAGATGTCACCCATCTAATAAGGCAAACTTTCAAAGTTGCAACAGCCTCGTTTATCCCGATAGCGCCCGAGTATTTGGTTCCGAGAAGTTACTAACTTTAGTAATCTACGATCGGAGTGTACGGTATTTTGTTGACGCATAATTTGCAGCCTCGCGTGATATTTTAATTAACACCATATTAACGACATTTTTTCATCGGTTAGGTTTAACGATAGAATGTATGCAGTTTGCAACGAAAATTTTTCCAACTATGAAAAGTAATGTGTTACTATAAAACTCTGAACTGATTATCTAGTTACCGTTTAATTCGCTTCGGAAACCAGTTGAGCACTGAGGGAACGCAATTTGCAGATAGAAATAAAAATTGCAAAAGAGTAAAGTATTGGTGTTACAAGTAAATTAAACTAACGTTGCTTACCTACATGAAATAATGAAGTTGTATTTTGACATCATTTCATATTGTGACGACCTGATGCAGTAAGTGGTGTCGGATTTTTTTTAACTTTTTCTCGTTATATCGAGTCTAAGGGAGCCTGAATTTCCATTTTTCGATTAACGTTTTGAAAAAGAAGAAAAAACGCGAAACAGCTATAAAATTCTTTTTTTTCGTGAAGAAGTTCCGGATGGTTCCTTATAATGTTCACTAGATCAGCACTTCGGGACCTTTTGCAATTTCCATGATGCACTGCTTTTTATAGAAATATGCCAGTATCATGAAATTCTAATTAGACAATGACATATACCGTCTAAACTTCAACAAGGAATAACGTTTAAGGAAAACGGTCAAATCCAGCGGCGTGCAAAAGGGGCCAAAAAATTTCAATGAAAATATGATTTCTTAATGTAGGTGAAAAACAGGTATTATTTAAGGACTGTAAATGTAATACTGTGAATTTCAAATATCGACGGACGAGAATTTTTCATATCCCTAACTAAAAATAATTCTTCTAGATTTCCATCTTCTCATAAGTCCCGGAACAATACATCGCCTATATACAAAGAAAATAAAATAACAAATTACAACCGAGGGCTCTTACGCAATTTCGCTAAAACAACGTACTCTTTCCATTTCGACGAAGAGATATAAAACGCGAAGTACTATACGCATTTACCCTTTTTTATGTCTCGAGTTTAGGCGAAAATATCCATTCGCAGCGTCTGTAAAAGCGAGAGAGTATAAGTTCTAGACATATGAATTCCCAACAAAGTTAACATCAGCAGCACATGATATACTATTTACGTATATAAACTTCGATCATCGACCGATGATATCAACTTGGTTAGCACAATGTTTGCTCTAAAAACCTTGTATTAGTTGCGAATTAAAATACACTGCATAAGTCATTCAAAAAATTGCCTTTGCGGGGTGAGTTTGGGCGAGAGGGTCGCGGGATATTGCCTAACCATGAACGGTATGGTAGGAGAAATTAATTCGCGAGAGGAACAATGAACCACCCACGTTTAAGAAAATAACAAACTTAACTATGTATAATAATATATATAATGTATATTTACAACTATGGAAAGTTATTTTAACTTAAATGGTTTTTACTTAATCTTGACAACGTAGATACAACGTCCACAAAATTAACAGCAATTAAACACAGCAAAAATGAAATTGGATTTCACAATTATTTGTTTTAATATGACAAATACATATCACTGCAAACAACGATTTTAAAGTTAGGAATTTTTTTATTAGCTAATCTTTGTAATATCAATGTTCAAAAAGACCTTTTCAGTTTCAAAAAGTCGCTTTTCTAATAAAAGTTAAGAAAACGTAGACGTGGAAAAAGACAGAAAATTAACGTTAAACTACTCCCCTACATTGGTATTAGTTCAGCGCAAATTGTCATATTCAAAAAGGCATTTCTTACAAACCATATGGCGTTTAAATTGTTAGACTATATTTAACTAAATTTCTAATTGCATATGAAATGTATTAAATCGGTATAAAACCCGGGCGATGTGCAGTCCCAGCAACATTGCCGCCGCCCGTGAAGATATTTGCATCACGTTAAATGGAAACAATACTCCCTTGATTATATATCGTTGTATAATCAGTATTGTAGCAGGGTGTCTTGTTGAAATACATAAACATATGAACCTTACTAAATATAACATAAAACAATACACAGTAAACACTAATAAATTTGAATTTACATTTTTTATTAGAAAAAACAAGCTATACGATGTTTTATTTTGTTGAAAATCATCCTCTTTAATACCTGAGGTACACCAAATACTTGGTTCATATAGGTTAGGCTCAATTTGAGCATAAGTAAGCTTTGCATATACTCAAGACTGCGTCGGCTTAAAATAAAAATGGCAAATTCTCAATATCTTAAGCTTCGTTTAACAAAATGAAATATTTGGTTTGAGTATTTCCATTTCATGTAAGGAATCCAAATTCAAATTCATCCCATCATTTAAAATTTTAGTTAGTTTTAGTTAGTTTTAAATTCGTTAGAATGCTGAAAAATATTCAGCGATGATTTTTAATAATGGTTAACAAATAAAGATAGATGCAAATAATTTTAAGAATGGTCTTTTTCAGAGGTGTTACTAAAGATACATTACACACATATATAATGATAAAAATAAATTTCTCTCATTGTTAAAGGCTCCTGATAAATAACACATTTTATTAAGAAGAAACTGTTGCAAAATGATATTGGAAGGAAACAATTAATTTGGTATGGACAAGTGCAAGGAATGCCACATACAAGACTTCCCAACCAAGCAATGGAATAGCAACCTAAAGAACACCGAAAAAGAGGAATACCAAAAACCTATTGGAAACAGAGCGTAACAAAAGCGATGAACGCAATAAACCTAGAAGATGTCTATTGGGAAGATCAAAAGAGGTGGAGGCAAGGAGTCGGACAACATCGAAAGACGTTCTAAACCGATTACACTCACATTAAGAAGGTAAGCTAGAATGTCTATTATTATATACAGAAAATTTTTGTGATCCAGAAGGCAGAACATGTAAATAGTTCCTTTAAAAGTACTTCTAGACAAAGAATAAATTCATTACCAACTTTTTCTTTTAATCTCGAAAATGGAAGGAGGGAGGGCTTTAGAAAAGAATTTGTATAGGCAATTTTTCGCATTGTCAATTTTCTGTAAGTGTTTGGTTGTCCTCATAGTAAATCTTACAAAAAAATAGAATGAAGTTTAACCAAATGATACAAAATTATTTTAAAAATTTTTAAATTCAGATACATTTCGAAAAAATTGCTATTCCCTATAACATACTTAAAAGATGTAGGTAGTAAATGTAAAAATAATAGGGTTCTAAATACATACCTTTCAATACTTTTATAACGAACTCTGGAAGTTCCCAACTTTTCAATAAGTCTTCTATATTTACTGTTACACAACCCTTACACTTTACACAGGTAAAAACTGAAACTGCACTGAAAGGTCGTGTGAGAAATCGTTACACTTCGTCAGGCTTCGTGCAGCCATGATATGCGATCAACTCTACCACTACTGCTAGAATGGAAAGTATATTTTCAAAGCATTTTCAAATTGAGAATATCAAACTTATTACATCAAGGATATCATAATTTCAAAATAATTATTTTATAGACTTATATTTACTTCTACAAAGAGTATTCAATTATATCTATGACACAGGCCAAATTTCTGAAAGCTGACTCAGTTCAATCTTCATCCCCCTTCGAATAAAAATCAATGCACGCCACTGTAATAACCATAGGCTAATAAGTCTAATGAATCTTAAGATATTCCTGAAAATATTACATAGCAGAATGTATAAAAAATGTGAGCGTAATATAAGTGCAAATCAGTTCGGATTTAAAGCTGGAATGGGCACCAGAGAAGCACTTTTCAGCATATAAGTACTAACACGGTACTGTCTAGATGTTAGAAAACATGTGTCATTGACTACGAAAAGGCCTTTGACAAAGAACAACAAAGAAAACACACTCATGAGATATTGCGAAAAACAGACTGGATGAGAAAGATATCAGATGTATAAAAAACTTATACTGGTATCCGTATACGTAGAGGCGTGATACAGGGATGTGTACTCTCACCACTATTATTCAATATGTACTCAGAAGAGATTTTCAATGTAATGTTTGAGAATTCCGAACAACAAACATGAATAAGTTACAGGACATGTGCACTCAACTGAATGAAACCGGCAAGCGATATGGCCTAAACATCAATACCAAGAAAACTAAATCCATGATCATTAGGCGAGACAAACAAATATATGCTAACGCAACACAGCATAGAAAGCGTAGAACGGGTCGAAAAATATCAACATCTTGGCTGTTGGCTGCATGCAGACTTGAACCCTGAAAGGGAAATTAGAACAAGAATAGAGAATAGAATAGAATGTGCAACATTTATTAAGTTTAAAAACGTACTGAGCTGCAGATATATACAACTGCAACTACGTTTGCGCTACGCAAGATGCCTGTGGCCTGTCTTGCTCTATGGCGTAGAAGCGTATACCAAAAAAAATAGCAGCATAAATAGAATAGAATAGCCACACAGACGTATATTAAAAATATCCTGGACCAATGGATCAACAAATGAAGAAGCAGGATGATAGGATGCAGAAGGAGAGAGGATTGTTTGGTACCATTAAAAAAAGGAAAACCTCCTACGCGGCACATATAATTCGAAATGAAAAATATAAAATTATACAGCTCAAACTCGAAGGAGTGATATAAGGCAAGAGGGGAATGGGTAAAAAGCAGCTGTCATGGCCGAGAAACATCAGACAATGGACGGATCTGAAGACTATAGCTGAGTTCATAAACACCGCAAGAAACACAGACAGATTCCAACATGTAGTCGCTAACATCCAGTAAATTGTTTGGCAACTAAAGAAGATATTTTCTAACAATGCGAATACGGCACAAACATATTCTCAAATCGAAAGTATGTTACGTTTTGTCCTTTTCATTTGAATATTAGATCGCTTAAAACCGAAAATAATACATTTCCATAATAGGTATAATTGTTTCTCCTTCTAAAATTACATATCATCATTTTCAGGAGGCAACACAAATGAAGAGATGATGCAACCTTTGAAGAAGAATTTGCAATTTAGAAATAAAAATTTTCAACATTTTAAAACAATTTCAAACATATTGAAATTATTAATTTAAACTGATGTTCTAAATTTAAAAATATTTAAATTTAAATCGAGTAGAAAATATTGAAGATATACGTAATCTACAATTGAGAATTTGATTTTTTTCTGTGTAGGCATTATTCATTTATAATGCATTGTTGATTAGTTTTTAGCTTTTGAATTTTTTGAGTATTTATTTATCTAAGATAATAAAAATATTGGTCCTCAGTTACTGTCAGTAACTCAGTTGCTTCCATGCACAGAGGAGGTGCAGAAACGCAAAGTGATAAAAATTATATAGTGTTTTCTATCGTTGCTCAAAATCCGATTCAAGAACTTATTGACTCTGCTTCGCAGGTTGTAGTGAACTTAAAACCATTTTATTTTTGAAATTAAATATGCTACAGTGGAAAATTTTATAGTCAGTTTGAAATATAGGTATACGTATTTTCCAATATCGGGATTGTAGTGTTGACCGCGTGTACTTGTGCAATTTAAAACAGATTTTCGTTGCCTTTAAAAAAAAAATAGAAAAAACCGGAATATTAGCAGTCAGTTTCTGCAGGACATTCGTTAACGACCTTCTCAACTCTGAAAACTCAATTGTCCGTAATCAGCTTCGCAACCTTTTAATAAAATCGAATTAAAGCCGAGAAACACAAAGAGGGTCGCCTTCGAACCGGAGCGATCTGAAAATTTCACTAATCCGGGTAGCAACGAAACGTGAAGTATTGTAACACCGGTCTCTATGCCCCCGACTCCGATAATTAATTCTCAATTGAGTTCGAAAGGGTTTAAATTAAACAGGAAAGTCAATGTTTTGTGGAACCCACGCGGCATTCGTGTGTGGGCTATTTATTACGCCGCCCTATACTTTATAGGTATCATTTAATAACGCGCTTCGTAATGAGCAACAAGATATTATTGATGAAGTATTGATTGTAGAATGAATAAGCAAATACATTGAACTACATTTATCCCTCGTAGATTGTTTTACCTACATATAAATTTGTATAAAGTGTACGTCAATACTGGACACATTTCATATAATATATAAAATAAAATAAATTATAAAACATTATGAAACTCAACTATTTTTCCGATTTTTTAAAAATCAATTTATAAAAAATGGGTTGATGCAGCAAGAAGAAGTTTACCCAGTAATATTATAGAGAATAAACTTGCTAGTCTGTGCAATGGAAAGCTTATGAATGATGAAATCCTCAAGCGTAACAAAAAACAGCATCTACTCTCTAATTCTGAACCTGCAGGAGCATTATTGAACATGGAAACATTTTCAGCAATAGAGCAGCAATTAGCGTTCAAAACTTGCATCAAAGTTGATTTATTAATGAAGCATATTATTAATACTATTTTATATTATATTAATGTGACGAAATTTAATTATTTTGTGAATAAGATGTTGGCCGAATCTCTCCACAGACTATTCGTTTCCAAGTAAGCGTCAAGAAAATGGGGATGGTGGCAAGTCGTTAACAGCCTCATCCTACTGTAATTACTGAGAAATCCTATTTTATTTCGAAGAAAATGAAACTGCTTTCGTGAGTTTAACCGTCCTGTTTGACAATAAACGGTTGCTTTGTTTCGGGGCTGCACGTAACCCAATTAATTTTTCACCGTGTCTCTTTGGGACCTGTTGAGAGGGAAAATTGATCTCTGCGGACAAAATGGCGTCTTAATGTTAAAGCTTCGAGCAAATTAGCTCGTTAACAACGTGTTTTTTTTGCTTCAGTCGGGTATAAAAATTTAGGATTAGGTTTAACGGTTACTTGCAGTTTTCTAACCATGTTGACTCGGTGTTACATAGACCCGCCTATGATTCAAACTTAAATTCTGTGATACGTTAGTTTTATCCCATGTCGCTTTTTGCAGTATTGTCTATTGGCCAGCTATACTAAATCGAGATAAAGACTTCGACTTCAGAATGCTTGCAGTGCCTCTATGATTCGAGTTGGCTCAAACTGGAGGACCGTTATAAAGTTCAGTTAGCCACCTTTGTCTTTTTACTAAACTCCAATAAGACTCCGTCGTACTTGTTTGATAAACTTTGCAGAAGAATTAATATTCATAATCAAGGCACCCGAAATTGTTTGAGATATTGCGTTCCTAGACACAATAAAGTCCTTCAAGTATCTAGCAAAAGCATATGAGTTAATGATACGCGCCATTTCTTGTACTTACGATACCGGTGTGTATTTTGTTGACAGTTATCGTGTTGGTGCTGTTGTCTTGGTTCTTGTGGTTATATGGAAGAGCGCAATTTGCGAATGTCGCCACTCTTGTACTGTTTTGATTTTTAATAAAGACGGTTTATTATTATTATTATTATTATTATTATTATTATTATTATTATTACTATTATTATTATTTTTTTAACTCTGGTTACAGGTTATCAGGACTTCGTCAGCTGCGGGGCAGCAAGACTACGTCCTCAAGCGTTCCCCTCCAGGACCGATCGGGCAATGTTCGCTGCACCTAAGAGTGCCGACTTCTGCATCATACGATAAGTATTGCGATTTAGACCCAGTCTAATTATGTTTGTTTTCAAGTCCGTCGGTATAACATCCATGCTGGATATGATCAATGGGACAACCTCAACTCTCTCCATGTGCCACAGTTCTTTAATTTCCCATTTCAGATCGTCATATTTTTGGATCTTCTCAGCCTTCTTAGAGTCGATTTTGTGTGTTTTGGGGATCGATATATCAACAAAATAAGCGGTATTTATGTCCTTATCAATAACTGTCAAGTCTGGTCGATTATGCCTGATTTCCTTGTCTGTGATTATGACTTTGTCCCAGTAAATCTTCGCTTTGTTATTCTCGATGACTGGTGGTGGTTGGAGTCAGAAATATGGCTTTTTATCTTCAAGGTTTATGTCGTATTTCTTCGCCAATTCGAGGTGCATAATGTTTACAACATTGTTGTGCCTCTCTACATATTTTGTGTCGGCTCATTTGGGGCATCCCGAAAGGATGTGTTCAATCGTTTCCGAGTGTTCTTGGCACTTTCTGCATTTGTCACATGCGATGTTTTCTTTCATGATGTACTTTCGATAGTTCTGAGTGCTGACAACCTGGTCTTGTATCGCTACAACAAACCCTTCTGTTTCTGGCATTAAATAGCCGTTCCTCAGCCTTTTAAGGGAAGCATCTTTGTCGACAGTGTTTCGGTTTATCACGTTAGTATCGGTCATGCAGTTCTTTGTTGGCTCACGTTTTAATTTTTTCCGGAGTCGTATCTGGTTTTCCTAACTTAATTTCTCCACTAAGATTTACCGGTGTAAACGCTTGGTCTGCCTTCGTGACCACTTGATGAAGGTGGTCCGTTTTCTGCTGGAAGTATTTGCGCAGGTTTCGAATTTGTTGGTAGCACGTGTTGAGTACGTCGGCTAAACCTCTTCCTTCTTCGTGCCTAGGTAGAGTAGTTCTTTCCATCGATGATTTTTTGTGGTGTTCTCGGAACTTTAAGATTGTCGTGTGCACTAATCGGTTCAGATTTTCCAAGTCAGCTTTGACTTTGGTGATGTTAATTTAATTTAGCTCTGTTTTAAGGAGTACATTTACCCTTTGCTTGAATTTATCGATAAGGATATTTTTGATTTCAGCATGTTCTATCTTGTTTGATTGTAGCATTCCCAGCTATTTGTAGGGCTGGTTATCCATTGCATTTATAGTGACATCCTCATTCAGAGAGAGAGGGGCTTCCGATGTGAGTTTTCCTCTTGCTATTATTACCGTCTGGCATTTACTCAGTCCGAGCGTCATACCTATGTCATTTGTGCACTAATTTTAGAACTTTTTCTAAGTGATTTTTGGTTGATCCATATATTTTCAGGTCGTCCATGTAGAGGAGATGGTTCGGCATATGTGCCATCCATTTTTCCAATTTGCTACCCTTCCAATAACTCTTCCAATGTTCTCTGTTGTGACCTTGATTTTTGTCATTTTTAAGCCTGCAAACGCGTCTTTCTGGTTTTTAATCCATATTATTTTTAATTTTAATTTTATTTTTAATCTATATTATTATTATTATAATTTTTATTATTATTAAGATTTGTTCAACCGAAATGCCATAATTATTTTTGTTTTTCAGGAAAGTTAACAAAATGAAAATTAAGGTTTGTCTTGTTTTCATTTAGACACGTTAACAAGGTTGCCAAATTCCGGAACCTCACGTTTAATAAGTTCAAATAAAAAAAAAACTGTTTCAGCGGAGTGTCTACTAATGCTACAAAGGGTTCATATTCACACGAGCATTGCTAATCTTCATTAAATCAAGTGTTAACAAAATTTCACCACCATTAGTTTAATACGTTCAAATATGAAACAAAAAACTATTTATTCTAGAAACCGAGGTACAAATCAATTCAAACCCAAAAAATTATCCAATCCTTCCAAATTCCAAATTTGGTTAGTTTTGGTTAATATCCATCGAATCGATTAACTTCCCATTCATTCTAGATTAGTTTGCATTAGTTACATCACTTTGTATAAAATTTCGATCAAAATAATACTACCGTGTCCTTGTTAATCACAAATGAAATCTGATTGATTCACAAACACTGTTATTTGTTGTGCCTTCACAAACTTTTATTTGTAACTATTCAATAGGATCGTGCTGAATTTATATAATGATAGTTAGGAATCAACAACTCTGTAAGTAAACTAATAAAGACAAAAGATTATGATATTCGTTCTTCCACCGAGGCTTTAAAGAATTTAGAGAATTTTTTTGCACATATTACGAGAAAATCAATTTAATCCACTACTTGTGGATGCTGGGGAACTGTCGGTAAAAATTGACGTGGAAAAATCTTTGGAAGCTACAGGTAGGCATAAAAGCCTTCGTCGAAAAAGAAATATTGATTATAGATAAAAAAAAAAGTGTAAAATAGAATTTCAGTGTCTTAGTCTAGATACAACCCCAAATGCTTTGAAGTAAAGATTTCACATTCTAGAAGATAATAGCCTATTACAAAAAACTTAACCGACCAAGATGATAGTAGTAACTCTAGTAATTTTGCACACGGTGGAAAAATACTCGAGCTAGCCCTGAATGACTTAGATACTTGTGATAAATGTGCTTTGGTTGTAAATCTGTTTAGTGCCTTTTTTTGTCATCCAACCCAAGCTAACGTTTTGGCACCTTATTACTAATTACTTACTTACTACTTACTACTTACTAATCGGTGAAGTACAAACCATGTTTGTACCAGATAAACGAACTAAATTGGTTTTACAGATTACATAACCATCACTTTTTAACGCTCAGACGAAATCATTTTGTTTTTTAACGAATGTACAAAAAATACCGGCACTGACGTCACGACGTGCACATGGTGGGCAGTCTATTGATTTTTGTATAACCCGAAAAAGAGTGGAACTTCCTAATTTACTGTAATTTACTTGTATATATGTTTCTAATGCCTTGATTATTGTTGTGGATTGTCCAGTCTTACAGCTAAACGTTATAATGACAGCGTATAATATACGTTTAAAAATATTCAAAATAGGTCGTAGAATAAAATCAAAGAGCGATAAAACATTTTCCATGGCTACGTGTAGGAACAAAGACTAATGGGCCATTGTGGCGCACAAATTATCAACTCTATTAATATCAGCTTTAAAACTGATTACCGTTTTCCCGGACAGCTTGATGGATATTGTTTTGGAATGGTTTTTAGAAAAACTTTCAGTACGAACGAAACAAATAAACTTAATGTAACAATTTTCTAATCCCTGGCACTTGTTTGGTCAATTTGTCGTGAACTGCCAGAAAACAAACAGATTAAAAACTGTTTGCATACAAGAAAAGTAATCGCCCTCTATCTGTAAAACAAGTTTTGGGGAAAACCTTTTATGTAACAACTAACTTAAAAACAGTCATTCAAAAGAGTTTTCAAAATCAATATCAGGAATAGAACTTTTTCCTAGGGTACAGAAACTAAAACTGTTCACTAATAATGACGTAAATTCTGGTTTCAAATTGGTTTCAAATTGTTGAAGCAAACTTGTCAAAGTGCGAGAAAAATAAACAATGCTCTTAATTTAATCAATTAAAGCATACATGGAATATATTCCACACTGAAGACATTGAGCATTTTTACTAAACTGAATCCTAATTGCACAACACATTATTAATATGACCATTAGAAAAATGGTTAAAATTATGATTAATAAGCATAAATTTTCCTCTATTATGGGTCAAACCTACGATAGCCAAAGAAATTGCCACAAGACGCAAAATGTGCACACACAGAAATTACTTTTTCTACTCCCTTTTGCAAGAAACCTAATTATACACCGATCTAATGTGCGAGAAGCGTCACTTTAGCAAGTGAGTTTCTTGTCCCACGGATCTGGGCCACATTTTCAGGGTATTACCGTAATCAGATGTTTTCGGAGATATTTCCCACGCTTTGAATTTTTGACGTTTGTCAATTTTGACTTTCATGTCAGTGAATGTACTCGTGTCGTTTTGCTAAAATGTACCCAAAAACTAGCGGTTGTAGAAAAAGTATAGTATGCAACACCTTCGGTAAACTTTTAAGTCATTCGTTTATTAAACACTAGCTTCGCTCGTGACAAATAAACTCGTGAGTCAAATGCCGTTTACCGCACTTGTTGCATAATATACTAATATCAATCCTAAAAACAAATAACTATATTCCTTATTGAAATAGTAGCAATAGGAGGCATGATAACATACTAAGAATTTTTTCATTATAACTAATATATTTCTATATTAAAATGTACATTGAACAAACTTACTAAACGATTTTTAGATAAATTTAAAACTCCAGAAAACAAATATAATTTAGTTGTATGACCAACAAGATGCTGCAGTTTAACTTCACCAGCTGTATACGAAAGTATGATAAAATTTTCACTAGGGAAGCATTTTTTCCAACTTCCAGAAATATATGGTAATTTGGAAAAATATATGCATTTACTATTTAAGTCCATTGCTGCATCGAAAAAAACGTTTTCTCAAATTAAGTTTAGTAATAATATGATAACATGATAACTGAAACAAAGAATTATAATTAAACGGCATCTGAGTATCAACTAACTAACGAAATGCAATTTAGAAACAATATATGTAGCATGCTTGACTTTTTTTTATTTAGATTTTTCGTTGACTTTATTTGTCTTAGTCTTAAGGCTCTTTCATGTTCTTTAAGTCTAGTTGATATTTTTCTTCCGGTCTCTACAATGTATTCTTTGCCTCATAAGCATAGAATGCTGTTAACTCCTGGGATCTCAAATTGAATTTTGTCTTTGACAGATCGAAGATGTTGAGAGATTTTTGGACAAGTGGTAAATGTGGTATTGACTTTAGAACTTTTGATTAGTGATGTTTTGAATGTAAGGAAGGACAACAATTGCAAGTGTGGGATTGCTTTCGGCCTTATTGCCGTTCGAAAATTGTGAAGGAGTATATTTCTAAAGAGAGCAGAAGTGAGGTGTTTTAATTCTGGGTTCAGTGACTCGGGCTGAGATAGTTTTACGGCTCTGCGAACAAAAGAGTTGATAACCGATTATTTTTAGGCCGGACGGTGATGTGACAATGTAAACACAATGACCCAATGTTAGGTCTGATTTTCTATTGATAAGAATATCTAAGTATGGGAGGTAATTATTAGTTTCTAATTCAATGGTAAAACGTAAGTTAGGGTTTATAGAGTTCAAATGTCTAAGAAAATCTCCCAGAGATTCTTTACCATGAGGCCAAATAACAAAAGTCTCATCACGTTAAGCGATTTACAAATCTTCTGGTTAAGCGATTTACAAATCTTCTGGTTAAGCGATTTAAAATCTTCTGGATTCCTTCTGCGCTGGTTGTTAATAAATCAAACTTAACTAAAACAGTTTCACACAATAACGCGTTTTACCACAAACCGAAACTCAATTTTACATACTCGACCCGCGTTTCGCCGACCAAGTTGGCATTTTCAGGAGAAGATTCAAACTAAACTCTTCAAGTTCAGTTTAGTTTTAAGCATCTCCTGAAGATGCCAACTTGGTTGGCGAAACGCGCGTCGAATACGTAAAATTGAGTTTCGGTTTGTGGTAAAACGCGTTAATGTGTGTTAGTACAGTGCCGAAGGTTCCAGTCGAGAGTTTAAAACTGTTTTAATTAAGCTCTGAAGAAGCCAACAGAATGATTGTCGCAGCCGACGCAGAAGGAAAGAAGGAAAATTTGTAAATAGTATTACACTAGCCTCTCGTTCATAAGTGTGATCTGTCATTTCAAGAAAGCTAAGCCTAAATCAACCGATAAACGTGCTCCATGTTTACGGTCTCCTGGCTCAATACGATCCCAACCACTACCAAATATCCAAAAGTGGCGTTATAGAAAAACCACAACCCTGTATAATGAGCAACAATCAGGAAATTCTAAAATTAACTAAGTAAGACAAAAATTTCATATCGGCCCGCCGCCGCCCGGTTTGTTTAAAATCGAAAAAAAAGCACCAAAATTAAGATGAAAGCCGTTCCAACGCCCACATAAAAAACGAGCGGAGCCATTTAATTCCACTTAAAAGGAAATAAAAGCGTTTATTTTTCCAAGAGCGTCGGCTATTTCAAAGAATCAATTAAGAGCGGGCGGTAATGCGCCTCTGATACAATCAGATCCGTATCTGCCATTGAAATATACGGGAGCCGCAACTGGAAAAGGGAAAATGAATACACTCCTTTACGTTTTTCGACCCCTTTCTCGCGGACCAATTGCGATTTTGCCATTTCGTGAAAGAAAAGATACAATGGCTTTCTCCTCGGAGACAACTGGGACAATGGTGATGCCGGCGCTGATTTTCGAGTAAATAAAAAGAATCGAAACTGTGTCAGTAAGCAAGATACATGGGATATTGCAAAAGGCAACGAACGAGAACCAACCAACTTATGGTCGCCTGAAAATACAAGCAATCGGTTATAATGTCTGTTTATTGAAATGGTAGACTGTTGTTAAGCTTTCTCTTAAATATTTATACATTTAGAAACTTCTGAACTGCTCAATAGGCAATTGAGCAATTGAGCAAATAGTGATAGATAGATAAAAATGGAAGCTAATACTTTTGCACAATAATAGCGTCCAAAGCGTTTTAATGTAACTTAAATCCATTTCAAAACTCTTGAATAAAAGCATTTCTTTCTTTTTTATAAATATTTATTATTAAGAAGTGTCGATTTTACACAGTAAGATGCTATTTAAAATAATCTGGGGAAATCGCAAGGTTAGACCAATACTTACAAGAGGGCACACGTCAAATAGATTAAATGGTTGAAAGCGATATCAGGGTGGAAATTTGCCAATTCGAAACAGAGTACATCTGTTGATCCAGTAAATAGTTGTGATATTAAAGGGGTTAGAGTTGTTAGAAAGCACCAATACCAGCGATCAGACCGACATGAGATAACAAAAACGAAAAAAGGGCTGCAATGCAAAAGAAACAAAGACGTAACTTTACTGGTGAAGTAGGTGATGCGCTCAATGTTTTGATAGATCTTGACAATACATTTTTGCGCCTTGCGTCCGAGCTGTTAAAAATATTTATTTACTTCTTAAATGAACGAAATATTATTTCTTATATGGTTCAATTTGCTTTGAAAGTATATCATAAAACCAGTTTGTTAAACGACGTACACCTGTCAAAATGCTAGTTGCTAGTGATGCCAACTAGATGTCTGGAATTATCAGTGGTCTTGAACAAAGTCGAGTCTGCTTGCTAGACATAACAAGTGGATTTCCACAAGACTCGATTTTAGATCCTGTTTTATTTACCGAAGTATTCACAAGAATAGGCAATACTTCTCTGCCATTAGAACACGAAGTAAAAAATTTGAAGTTACGTTTAGTCACCAAAATTCGCTTTGGAAAACACATCTCGGCTTGTACACAAAGGGCTATTGATCACTAAAAGGTTTGTATAGTTCACGGCATTTCGTAACTAGAAATCTTAAAAAAATTGTGTTGATTCGCTGTGATGTCGTGTATGGGCGGGTCCTGCTTGACAGCTAATTCTCGCAACATATTGAGAAACTTCAAAAATGCTGCCTGTGATTAATTTACGGCATTTATCATGGAATACCCATCAGCCACTAACTGACTAATGCGAGTTCGACCAATATGAAGACGCGGCGCTTGATCCACCACCGCTGTCCAAAAATCTATAAACCTGGTTACTCTCGAAAATGTACTGGCATTTTTAGCTGTTAGTTTTGCTAGTGGTTTAGATTTTTTTTTCTATATATAGGTGGGTACTTAACGAATATGGCATTTTAAGGATTTATAGATGTGGTCATTCAAAGCTTGAAGGTGGTATAGTATTTATTCGGTGTTAGCAGGAACTGCCAAGGACATTGTACCAATAAAGCTGGGTTTAGAATTTTTTTTTCTATATATAGGTAGGTACTTAACGAATAGAGAATTTCAGTTTAAACCATATGGAAATTTTGAGGTACGTCCTCTTTTTGTAAGGATAAGTATGGAAATCAGCAAGCAGATATGTCTGGGCAGTTCACTCTTGCCTTTTTTTGTAATTTTCTCTGTCGAAATTACCTGAATAAAGTTGTTGTATTGTTGTATTTCAAATTTTCTTGTTCTTAAATTTTTGATGTTTGTCTTTTTATCGAGTTTTATGCTATTATTGTTTTTATGCCGAAAATAATTTACGTAATGTGGAATTTAACCAGAACTGTACAAAAATATTAAATAACTTCAAAATTTTACGATGAAAGTTTTTTTTTTGACTATTTTTTTACTACTAAAGAAGCCGCGCTTACTCTGCGGCTTGGTGAGTATTGATTTCAGCGGCTACTAAAGTGGAGTACACACGCTGTTTACAGCCGCGCACTCGGAATCATTCGCTACATGGGAATCTTCTTAACTTCACCTTTGTCACTTTGAGGCCTCATCGGGATGAGTGACCACCCGTAACGCTCCCTTCATATGAGGTTACTGAGCCCCTTACCACGACAAGGTGTTGATTCCCTCTGCTTTACAGATGATGTAGTCCTCAATTTCGCAAACATAAGGGACATGGTTCAAGAACTATATATAACAAATCACGTCAAAAATCGGAGTACATATAAACTATCTGAAGACGAAAATGATGACAAACATGCTCTGCAGTCAACAAATAGGAAAAGAAAACCAATACAACTGGTAGACTTGTGCAATGAAGGGAAATTAAGTAGATAAATCCAAACAGCAGAGCCGAGTAGGAGAATATCATTGGAAAACCGAAAGATATGGATATAGATATAGCTGAAACGCTACCACTCAGAAAAGCCTCAAAAATGAAACTGAGAATGGAAAAATTTATACTGGGACTAAATCTCGCAAATAAAATCAGAAACGAAGAAATTCGTGACAGAGCAAAAGTGGAGCCTCCAGGCTGGCAGATGGACAAAGAGAATACTAGAGTGGAGGTCTCGCATGGATAAAAGACGTATAGGGAGACCTCCTATGAGATGAAGAGAGATTAAGTAGAACTTGGATGCAGACAGCACAGCATAGGAAAGAATGGAAAAGACTGAAGGAGGCTTATGTTTGACAATGGACAAAAGGAAGATGATGACATAATAATAACACCCTCTATGTCCGTGAGAATACTGAGCAGTTCCAGTGTGCGGTGTTGCTAACTTTCGCATAGGGTTTAGCGCTTGTTTTTCGCGTTGCTGTTATGCGAAAATTTAAAATCCCTCGAGACCGGCCTTCGGACAGATTGTTTCATCCGGGGAGGCATCGTATAAATTCAAATTTATTCGCACCACCCGCGAATTTTAATTCGAAATGCATAACTCTTTCATGCGGCGCGAGGGCGGGTTCACTTTAAATTCAGTGTACTTAGTATGAAAACTATGCATGGCGAATCAACGTTCGGAAACAAATATAACGTTAAAATTCCGCCACTCGCAGTTTACGCGCCGCTCCGGCGTTTAAAGGTTACGTCGGCGGCGTCGTCGGAGCGTTGAGAATTTATATCGAGCTTATTTCGCAATAATTGCCGAATAAGTTCGCTTCGGTGTTGCTCGAGGGATCCCGAATCGCGAGAGTTATGCATAGCCAA